GCAGTACAGGAAATCGCAGTATTTTATGGTAGAGAAGCTGCTCAGTTCGTGGCAGCCAAGAAGCGAAGAGAAAGAAAGAGGGTCCTTGGGTCCCAGTATCCCCTTCAAGGCCTTGCACTAAGTGATCTAACTTCACTCCCACTTGGCTCCACCTTTTCAGCATTCCGACACCTCCCAGGTGGGGACACTAACACATGGAACGTTGGGGGCCGTTCCCAACATGCGTTATACCAAATGGTATGTTATTTTAAGTCTTGCATAAAAAATATTTTTTAAAGAAAGAAAGCAAATATGAGGTTGAGAATTTGGGATATTTTGGGTTCAGTGCCTCAATCCAAAGCAAGCAGCTGACATAAATAACCAATTTAGAATCAGTGGCAGGGGCTGGGGATTTAGCTCAGCGGCAAAAGCGCCTGCCTGGCAAGCGCAAGGTCGTGAGTTCGTTCCCCGTACCGGAGAAAAACAAAAAAACAAAAAAACAAAAAAACAAATAAACAAATAAACAAAAAAAAGAATCAGTGGCAGGTGTAATACATGTTTTTATCATGTAATTTCTAGATTTGTTTAATTTTTGTATTTGTCAAAGCTTTAATTCACTGGATATATGTAGTACAGGGCTAAAGTTGCCTAAAATTGTACACAGGTATCTTAGTCTTACACCTAAGTCTCTACTTTCTCTATCTGCCTTATTAAATTTTGTAATTCTTTCAGTGCCTCTGTCCATACCAAGCTTTCCAAACTGCTCCAGTTCGTGTGTATTGTGTCCCTTCAATGCTTACGGTATTTATCACATGCACCATTTCACTGTTACTTATAACTAAAGCTGTGACATCAGTTATACTTCCATAATTTAACTTAAAACTATAATATACCTAAGGAGAGCAAATATTATGTCTTCTTCCTTCATTTCTCTTATGGGACTTCAAATATGCTATAAATTCACTTATACTGTTGATTTTTATTGACATGTGATCTATCAGATTCACAGTGTATTTTATGAGGTAGAAAATTTTTGAAGGAAATGCTTATGTTAACCATATACTAATGAAGTAGAACACAAGCTTTATATCTCTTCTTTATTAAAAGAGTAATTATAGCATTGTATATTTCCACATAAATTGTTAATCCTGATTACCATCTTTAGACCAAGAAACAGAAGATCATGGTCTGTGCTAGAGCTGTAGACAGTGTTACCCATTCTTTCTTCTGGCTATGGGTTAAGGGTAAGGGTGTTTGCCAATTAAATCCTGTGCCTTCATTCTGTACTGTAGTGTACATATTCAAGACTCTAGCATCTCTCATTCAAATGGGTTCAGATCTACTTTCAGGAACTCCATGACTTCTTGCTCCACTGGATATTATGTGGAGCAAGTTATGTACTCAACTCAAGTGGAGGACCAAAGTTGGCCGTTGTTTTGGTAGCTAAGAAGGGACACATTGTATATGAAGGTTGGGTGCTCACACATGTACACATGTGAAGCCTCTCATGGTGTGGGACAGAGATAGTCAGCCAGTGAAGCAGAAGTGAGACTGACTAAAGGTAGGAGCTGGCTGTCTGTGGAACACAGCATATGTTCCTTTGTAATTCTATGGAGTCCAGGTGTTTTGAACAGGTATCTGGCCTCCTGGGTTATTATGAGGTTATCTTTACAAAGTCAGAAAATAATATTTAAAGTTGTATTTAAAAAGTGATTTTTCGTTTTTAAAAAAATTAGACATAGAAGGTGTGAGCCCCCAGCCTCATTCTTACATCTTGGGCCTCCAATTGTAGGAGGCCGTATTTATTTCAATACTTGTATAACTGTATAAATATATACTCACTTTCAAATGAAACATTATGCCTAAGGTGTGTAATGATGTCTGCATCTACTAATGCTGTGTTTTGTAGTGAATGTCATAGCCTATTATATTTATACCAGTCTTGAATTTATATTCTTGTTTTAGGGAATGTAATCTAATATAAGTTATTTTCTCTTTTCAGTTAAGAAGAGTTTTAAGAGTTGATCTGTTTTGACTGATTTGGTACCTGGCTCACATTTCTAGTACAGTGTGATAGAAATGATCAACTGTAATGACTAACAAGTTCTCCCACATTTTTTAAGTAAATGAGAGCAGAAGTAATACTACTGTTCATCACACATCACAAACTTAATATATAAAGTGATGCACCATTTTAAGTATTCTTATGTATTCTTTGAGAAGATTCATATTTTTCATTTGATTTCATTCCTGACCATTCCCTTTTCGAAAACATCTCCCAAACCAAATTATTTTTATTAAATGTAATAATTTTATTAATTTTTTCCAAATAAGAGAATTTTCACATTTCTGATAAGTTAATCTCATATTTTGCAGAGTTGTTTATTGAACATGTAAATGCTTTTTATTAATGTGAAAACCTAAAGTCTCAATGTATTAAAATTTAATTATTCAAACTGAATTTATTGGGATGTAGATTTTTACTCTGATATGAGAGTAAAGGATGCAGTAATGACAAGAATTCCATGTGTTCTCTGAGAAACAAAATCAATTCTGATTAGAAATTTATCCAAATTAAGAGCAATCACTAGATAAGTGCTTTAGAGATTTCCCTGAGAAATACTGAGTTGATGGTACTGAGATTTTATTACTAATTATATCGTATATCTTTTTTTTTGGTAGTAGGAATCAAGCTCAGGGTCTCATACTTTCTAAGCTATTTCATATTTCTTATTATCTTGGTTCATGGTTCTATTTTGAATGATTAGTCTGCAGATTAAATAAACTATGAAAGAACTTTGCTCTTAAGAAGTGTAAGAGTATCATAAGGCCTGTGATATGCTTGGATGAAAGGAATTTAGATGAGTAATTTTATATAAATCTCATGAGATTACTGGAAACCCCTGATTAACAGTGAGTATATGTTGTAAAATTATATCCTCAATTTTAAAGAACTCAGTTTCCTGGAATATATCCTCTAACACAAATGAAATTTTTAGATAGATATTGCATTTAAATTTGCTTGGTAGATAATACAATTATTTGTAGAAATTTATAGTGTATAATTAAAAATACTTAGTGTCATCACAGTCTTATGTACTGAGGAAAGTAGCCATTCTGTTGGAAACTATACTAATTGAAATTCAACCATCTTTGATTAAATGACTCTCTAAAACCAATTAAAATGAGAAACTGCAAACAGAACATGTTAAATAATCTTATTATAAATCACTGATGTATGGTATCAAGAAAGAAAACACTTATGCACTGTAGGAAATGTTTTATCATTTCCGGTGTACTCTAGTAGAAATGATCAGCTCTGATGACTAGCTCGTTTTCCCTAAAAGTCTGCAGTGATGCCTGAACCGTTTTGCATTTATTGGTAATTCTCAATTATAGCTGTACAAATAAAATAGTATCACATAAATTTACAATATGGAAATATACAATGTAAAATATATAAATACTGATAATACCAATTGATTTCAAGGCACTCAAATATTTTAATAATTTAAAAAAATAATAATATTTTTTTCTAATCTTTAATTTTTGTTAGTTCATGTTTGCAGTACACAGTGATCACATCCATTTCAAGGATTGGCACGTGGACCTAATACACCTCAGCTCTTTACTTTCCTCTTCTTCCCAACCTCCTCACATTTTGCCAGCATTGGATTCATTTATTTATCTTATAAGTTATTAGAAACTTGATTGTCATGTATACAGATTAACAAAACTAATAGGCCAAAAAAATCTAAGAAAATCATACTAAATTAAGGTTTGCTTTTAGATACAGTTCATGCAGAATAACAAGAACTTTCTGTTTTTTCCCTATTGTCTGTCTTTTATTTCACACTTTATATAGTTTTTCATTTAAGAGAAATTATGTGATATTTAAGCTTATGCATCTGATTTACTTTACATTATGATAGCAAGATGCATCCATTTTTAAGAATTTCTTTGAAAAAGAGTAACAGGGTCTTCCTATGTTAAGGTGTTTGTGTGTGACACAGAGAAGGGAAGGTCATCCAGGCATCTACCCCAGAACACTAAAGGCCAAAGTGAGTAAGACGCTTATAAAGTCTTCTTGTTTGTCCCTAGTACCACTTCCTCTGCAAGGCCTTTGCTAGGTACCCTATTTAAAACCGTAGCCCTGTTCCTTTTTACCTCTGTGACTAGTTTTTTCCGCATTGTACTTTCTATCATGTCACTTTACCATTTATACTTTTTATTGTCTCTCTCCACTAGAGAGTAATCTCCAGTAAGCTTTGTTCTTCTACTTAACTACTGTCTTCTCATGTCCAGAATAGTGTCCTGATAAATATTTCTGTAATCAATTTAAGAAAAAAATTTACTTTCTCTAAAACAGCTATGAAATATTCACTTGAGTATAGGTAAACTGCTTCAATTTGTGGCATTTTCAATTTGAGGACAAATAAAAATACTATAGAATGCATATGTCATGAATTGTATTGTTTTCATAAGACAATAGATGCTACTTTGTTTATTTCAGTATTCCAAGAACTACCCTAATATCTTTACACATACTTAAATAATTTATACCTTCCAGCAACCCTATGAAACAGGTAATATTATCAGCTCCATTTTGAAGGTGAGGTAATTAGAGGTAATAAATACATTGAAGATATCAATATGTAATACAATAAGCATTGTTAATTCCATACCACTCTGTTTGTAACTCTGTAATGTCTGTACTGATCCTTTGCTATTTTGTAAAATGTTGTCGGTCTGTTAGTATTTTCCTCCTTTAAAAAAAAAAAAAAATTAACTCTTGCTTGGTCATGGAATTAATGTGTATGAAGGGATAGCTCTGGACAGTCAGTTCCACAAACTGTATTCTCAAAGAAAGTCTCCATGGTTAAAATGCTGCTGCTTTCTTCCTGAGAGTAGCTTTATTTGTATCCTTTTAATTCACTTTTGCCTTTTTAAACATTGGAAAATAATCATTTCGGTTTAATAATTGATATTTTATAGTCACTCAGTTTTTTCCCTTTTTGTAGTGGGACGCCATCACTGAAATGGACGAACACAACAGGCCCATTCACACCTACCAGGTGTGCAATGTAATGGAGCCAAACCAAAACAACTGGCTTCGTACAAACTGGATCTCTCGCGATGCTGCTCAGAAAATTTATGTGGAAATGAAGTTTACACTGAGGGATTGTAACAGCATCCCATGGGTCTTGGGAACTTGCAAAGAAACATTTAACCTGCATTATATGGAATCAGATGAGTCCCATGGAATTAAGTTCAAGCCAAGCCAGTATACAAAGATTGACACAATTGCTGCTGATGAAAGTTTTACTCAGATGGATTTGGGCGATCGCATCCTCAAACTCAACACTGAAATTCGTGAGGTGGGACCTATAGAAAGGAAAGGATTTTATCTTGCTTTTCAAGACATTGGAGCATGCATTGCCCTGGTCTCAGTCCGTGTTTTCTACAAAAAGTGCCCTTTCACTGTTCGAAACTTGGCCATGTTTCCTGATACTATACCTAGGGTTGATTCTTCCTCTTTGGTAGAAGTGCGAGGATCCTGTGTGAAGAGTGCTGAAGAACGTGATACTCCTAAACTGTACTGTGGGGCTGATGGGGATTGGCTGGTTCCACTCGGAAGATGCATCTGCAGTACAGGGTATGAAGAAATTGAGGGTTCTTGTCATGGTAAGAAAGAAACACATAATTTTTCTTGCATATTCATTATTTTTGAAAAGTAAATGTGTTGTACAACAGTTTTCATAAGCTTCGAGTGAAGTGCCTCATAATTAATTGTGAAAGAAAATTCCTACTAACTCTAAGAAAATTTCAACCTTTTTTTTTTACTGTTGGCAAAAATATCTCATATTGCAGTAAAGTAGAGAACCACTATAAAGTTCTGTACTCTCCATTTTTATGGGGAATAAAACCTTCAACAGTGACAACAAAAAGTAGTGGAGATTCAAAATAAAGATTTGTCTGATGCTGGTGCCTTGGCAGACTGGGAACAAAATAACCTTTTGTCCATATTGAATTAAAATAAATGCATAGTTGTAAGCTAAATTCCTCATTCAACAAACAGGGAGTTCATATATGTTTTAATTTTTTTTTTCTTTTTTGATTTTTTTCCGGTACCAGGAATCAAACCCATGACATCACGCTTTCCAGACAAGCGCTGTGCCACTGAGCTAAATCCCCAGCCCCTCATATATGTTTTATATTTAAAATGTTTAAGCTGTTTTATACAGATGTTATATGTATGGTGTTTGAATGTAAAACATTAGAGCTTCAGTTATACTTTGCTGTTATTAAGAATAGTTTTCTACCTATAACACATTAGCCTTTAATTTTATTAATAGTATTTGTGTAAGACCTAATTATCAGGAAATATCAGCATCATATAATGCTAATTAACCTTAGAATTATGCACATTGTTGTGACAATGAAATACCAATAATTTTCAAGGTGAAATATGATCATGAACTTGGCCTAGCCCCAACCTCCCATACGAGTGGATGGCAAAGGGCTCAAATAAAGAGAGACAATGAAGTGTGGTTTGTGGGGAGTCCAGGAAGGTCAGAACTCTCTCAGGAGTAAAAGCTCTCAGGAGTAAAAGCTCTCAAGAGTAAAAGCTCTCAAGAGTAAAGACAAAGAGCTTCACCAGACAGCTCTTGTTCATTTGGTGTTCAAACAAAGGAAAGGTATACTGAGACAAAACAGGAACTGAGCAGGACCTTGGGAAGTTAGTTGAAAGACTGCTCCAAGCAGTAAATTTTGCCAGTTAAGAGAACTGTTTGATCTCCAAGGTTGGCAGCTTTATTACTCTGCAACAATAAGTGTCAGCAGCCCTTGTCCTTAGCTGTTTACTGTGAATATGAGCTTTTCCAACAAGGTCAGAGGTCCCTTCCTGATTAGCAATTTAACCCTTGCATAGCCTGGTCTCTAACAAAATGTTTTCCTCTTTTTATATTAATAATCCATTGAAAGCTTATTAATCCTATGAATGTACAAATTGAAAATTTTATATAGATATCTTTACAATGTTGTATTTTAAATTAGATCTAACATTTGAAACAAAATATAGAAATAGGGTTTTTTCTATAAATAGTAACATACTAGAGAGATTTACTTTTCAGTGATAAGTTAAAGAATATTTTACTATACTGAATTTATTAATTTTCTGTGATACTGTGTTCATATTAGTTTAAAAGGATGAGAAAAGTAAATAAGAAAACTTACTTATATGCATATAAGGGTTATGGGTATTGTAGGTTGAATTTTTATGAAATTTTTATGAATTTTTATCTGTTTATAAAACACTTGGGTGCTTCACTTTTAAAAGTTTACTGTTGGTTTCTGTAATTATCATATTTGGTTGTTAGAGAATTTTAATATTAACATAAGTCTGCAGTATATAATTTAGAAAACATGAACCACCATTCCTCTTCTATTTAATAACAAAAATATGTTTGATTTACATTTATCAATAAAGATTCAATCTAAAATTTTTATTCACCTATGAAAAGATTTATAGTGGAGGAAAAATAAAACATAAATGATCACAGAGAGGATTATAAAGTATTTATGGAAATTTGGTAATGAAAACTTTATATACATAAATATTTAGTGAAATTGAGAAGAAAATAAGAGCTAGGGAAAAATGTGTTATGACTAGCAACCATACAATTCTGCCACATTTTAAATTAAGTAGACATTATAGATATTAATTGATAATTGCTTTTTACATGTTTAAAAAGTAGGTCAATAATCTAATGATTTGTGTGATCAGTTATTATTTGCATTTGTGTAGTGTTGATCACAGGATTAAATTAAGCTACTATGGTGACTAGATTTTTTTTATTTAATATGTTTATGTTGTGAAATTTCTTTTTGTATTTTTATTTGTTAAAATTTCTTCAGTTGTTTTGCAAAGATGAATTTGGACAAATGATAAACAGTAGCAGTTTATCTAGCGCTTCCACCTGTCTGTCTTTCTGTCTTTATTATTGTTTATCTGGATGCAGAAACATGAAAGAGTGGGCACAGTACAAATGTTCCTCATCTTGTAGTGCACAGCAGAAATTGGAGGAAGCAAGCTTGAGTTTTATGCCAGTTTTATGGGTGCTGATACTGAAATCAGTTGCCTTTTCATAAAGTTTTGGTTATACTTATGATAAACACCTGTAAAACATGCATGTATGCTTCCAATTAAATACAAAAAATTGCTCTTTGCAGAAGAAAAGTCAGAGTGGATACAGAGACCTCATTTTAAAGATAGGTATTTTAAAGTGTGTGTGTGTGTGTGTGTGTGTGTGTGTGTGTGTGTGTGCCTGATGCTTTATAGGCCCTTTTATTTTCTTTATTACAGTATTTTCCTGTTGATGAAAAGCATTGGTGTTTAGGAACAAGTTATCTCACAGCCTATTCTCTCAACTACACAAAACTAAATGTCAAATTAAACTTAGAGGAATAAACCATAGCTCAAGTAGTAATATGACTACACACTTAATGGGAAAATAAAACACAGTATGCGTATCATTTTTCTTCTGCTCTGTTCTGTTAAAACAATATGAACTGCTGGTATTTGCTATTTCTATGACTACTTAATCACTTTGCCAGTAGAGATGAATATAATGACACATATTTCAGTTATTATCATGAGATAAAGCAACACAAAATTTATGGGGTTAACAGTACAATGTTTCATTTTCTCAGGAGCATTCCTATTTAATGTAGAATAAACAGAAGCTACACAGGCCACTGAGTTCCACTGGGCGCTTGACTGAAATGGTACATTTGAGATTTCTCATTTCCAAGATCTTTCTCTAGTGGTCTCTCATTCTTTAAGAATCTGGCCTAAATTTTTACACAGTACAAAAGGAAAGGGAAGGAAGGATCAGGGGAGAGGTTTCACTTTTTCAGAGGTGTGAAATGAGCACAGGAGGGGCTGTACGAGGAGAGGTACTTGGAAGTACGCTGAGGGAAGGGAGCTACTGGAATGCTATACTGAAATCAACCAGCTGCGTTCCTCCCACCCACCCCAAGTAATGCCCCTCCTTCATTCACAGACCACACATGCTCTACCACTATGGCATCATGTTATAATTCAGAACAGCATGATAGAAATCGGTTCCAAATATGAATGAAGCTTCTTAGCTAGAGCTACTGTTGACCCCAAACACTAAGAACTAAGTAGGTCAGTTGTTGTTCTCCCACCCACAGTAGAAATGAGACTGAACTGGAATAATTGGAAAGGACTCTCTCATTCTAAAAAGTGGAGAGCACAGCAGTCACTGGCCCACTCTGTCACTGAAATTAGGCTGGGTGTTGTCTTGTTTCTATGCCACAGAGTCCCTATGTCATGATTCCCTGCCAGAGGAGCAGGGAATGTTCTCTGGCTAAAGTCCAGTTGAACTGCTTGAGTTTGGCCCTTGACTTCTTTGCTGGACTTTTGACTGTGCCATCTGCATCACTGCTTGTTTGTAAGAATTACCTGTGTGCCAGTTGCTAGTTTCAACAGCTGTCTGGGTACATTCTTAATTTCATCAACAGTATTAAAAGTGCTTTTAAAAATCTGTTTCAGGCTGTTACAGACAATATTCTGCCCATTTATTTTCATTGTATAACATGGGCTGTTGATCTTGTGTCATCTCCAGTAGCATTTTGTATACATGCTGGGTTCTGTCACAGGCTCCTCTGCACTTTTCCAGCCTCAGAGCCTGTGCCACTGATTTTAATTTTTTGGTAAACAGCACCCTGTGTCCTCTTCTAATCATTTGCTTACAGTTCTGCAATCAGGAACTCTGGACTGTGTTCATTGGGTGGTTTTTAAATTTAATCAGGGGTCACTTACGCAGTTGCAGTTATTTTGAAGAACTGCTGTTGGATTTCTAAAATGACTTATGTAAAATGCTGCTTCTGCAGTATTTGAAGCCTTGCTCACTGTGTTTTAATAACAGTTTTCAGTTCTGAAACACACTAGCACTTTTTCTAGTATGCTTATTAAAAGTGGTTATTTTTCATACACTTCAAGAAACTTGACAATTTACCTTATGTTGTTCTTTTCCTAACCATACCACAGGCTGTCTGCTGTCCTCTTTGTAATACTTTGGAACAGTTCATGTGTTTTCATATACATTGCTTTTTTCATATTTTGCCTGGCTGTTTGATGTCTCTTTCATCTTCATTTTTCTGTGATGGAATTTCACTCACTCTTCAAGGTCTAGCACAAGTATCATATATCTTGGTTTTCACAAGCAGTTGCTATCTTTTCTGTGCTACAGTTTCACTAATCATTGATGTGTGTTGTCTCACCAGGACTGTCTGATCAAAGGTATATTTAAAAATCACATGTATAACAGAGCTTGAGAAGCTCACTGAAACAAGTCGTGAGGCAGTGAAATTGGAGTCTGCTGAGTAAAGGGGGACCCACTGGTTTGCCAGCGTGGAAGACTGTTCCTTCTCATTTCTATGAAACAGGAAAGTTTCTTCAGGGAGTGTTGCAGTGTGTAGATCTGGAAGGATTTAGAATATATTTTTAGCCATCATTTTATGAATTCAGACAATTAATGAGAACAAAACTTCATTTGCTGGAGTCACACAGTACTAACTAGTACTGAGGACTGACATCTAAATATTTGTGTTTTTCCTTCATTTCTTCTGTTGCCCCTCGACCCCTCTCTCTCTCG